GGGGTCAGGGGGCTTGTGTAGACTTCCCCATGCAATGGGGGGCAGCAGGGATCACCCCGCCGCCCAGCAGCACCTGGCGAGCCGGGGCTTTTTTCCCAAAGAGCCAGGAGCTGGGGCAAGTGGGGCAGCCATTGCCGGGTTGTGGGGGATGGGCCTGGCTGATTGGGAGATTCAGAAATTCAGCAGCAGCCAAATCTCCAAATCAGATTCGACTGAATTGGTTCGAGACAGTGATTCAAATCACCAAATCAAATCACTGTGCCCCAAATTAGCCAAATCTGAATCTGAAGTGAATACTATACTAATGGATATTAGGCCAGCCTAAATTTATTGCCCTAATAACCACTTAATGATGTAATATATGTTATCTGTGGCAGGGACCTTTGCTTCGGCAAGCAGAGCACAATCCTGTAGCTCTTCTGCAGGCAGAACTCCCACTAAGATGGAAAGATCCATTTAAAACTAAGGCCCAGCTACTTTGTAAGGAGCATCTTGTACTTTTGAAGTAGTTATTTTTCACTGTGTTTGAGGCATGTTCTTTCTGTTTGGAAGAGAAGAGCACTCAGAGACGGATTCTTGGACATGTATCGGACTTAATTCAGCAGAAACCTGACGTGAACTCAATTTCGGAAGAAATGTTCTAAGTAACATGAGCTGGCTGGTTCTCGGATTTGAAACGCTCCAGCTACTAAGGAATGAAAAAAAATCACTGTTAAGATGCCAAAAAATAATAATTACTGTTAAGATGCCAAGCCAAAGCCCAGCACAGCTGGACTGTAAATCCGTCACTGAAGTTGTGGTTAGGAAGAATTTGGTAGCTTTTTTCTAATAGAAGAAAAATTGCAGGGTTACAGAGGCTTGTCATTGCAGAGACCATATATATTATTTCTGGTTTTGTGCAAATTTGTGATTGAACTTCTGGTTGTTGTTTTAAGAGTGAATATGATTCTCTAAGAATGCCTAAAGTGAATACAATTCTATATCTTTTATAAATGGTGCAAGACAGATGCACTTGCCTACCACCTTCTCTTGTTCTGTCTAGATGGATGACACTGGAATGTTTCGGGTAATAAATATAGATCCAGAAAGGAACTATATACCATTTTTACAACCATTTCATCTCTGCACACTGTGTTATGGTAAGATCTGTGTTCTATTTAAAATAACAATGTTAAATTGACTGAGATGTACTAATTATTTGGTGATACCTAGTAGGGAGGCTAATATTTCTGATTTAGTTAGACTATAAGGTACAAATCTAACCTGCCTTGTGCCTGGCTTCAGTTTAATGCAGCTAAATACATCCCTTTGATCAAGGACAGTGTTAAAGAAAGTACTGAACCAGTTAAAGAAAGTACTGAACTCCTTCCTGTGGTGTTAATTGGCTTATCTGGCCTTATTTCTTTGTTACATGTTGAATTTCTAAATGAAATGTAGTTAGCAACTACAACAACACCTTTTCATGATATAAGGACAACTTGCAGTTAGTCTGATCTGTGTTGCCACGTTTAAAGCTTATGAGAAAATATACTCAAATACATTAAAATATTCAAATTCTCAAGATGCTTCATGGGTTTCATGGCTAAAATGCAGTAGTTACTTATAGGTCAGTGGCCCATTGACTATGTTTCATGCAGGATCAGTAGTTGCTCTGCCATTCAGACACCAGGATCAATGTCCTGTTTGGTCAAGGGTCTGCACCTACATGCTCACTAATGTGTAGTAGTTACTGCATATTTAATTTGTACTTGCTTAATAAACTCTTACACAGTGTTGGCTAGCTGTGTTAGTCTGAAGTCGGACAAAAAACAGAGCAGGGTAGCAGATTAGAGGCTAATTTATTCAGAGTGGTATTAACTTTCATAGGCAACAACCTACTTCATCAGATGCTATGGAAGAAGTGGTAGACGGAAGGAAAAGGGAGGTGGGGTGGGGTGGGGAGGGAAGGAAGAGGCATGGAACAGATGCTGCTAAAGAGAGGTAATGACCTGGTTGAAACTTGAGATCCATTTTTGAAAGGTGGTGAATATATTTTGCATTCCATGCAGAGGTATGCAATATGATCAAGGCTGAGGAAATTTACCTAGTAAAGAGCTACTAGAGGGTCCTTTGGAACACAAAGTATATGTCTTCACATTCAGTGTTGATAATTGCCACTACAATTCAAATTAATATCTTTCCTCAATAAACTTTGAACAACTCGGGAAATGATTCTTAGTGCTCTGATACCTACTACAGCTTTTAGATTACTGTGTTTATAGAGAGAGAGAGACTTTAGTCTGTTCAAATATCTTATTCCTTAATAGCCCAACTAAGTCTCAGAGCCACTGGAAGTCTTTATAGTCCTAAATTTGTATTGAAATACATATAGCCAAAATGGTCACAAGTCATCTGAAAGTAGCAGTTGGGAAGGAATTTTAATGTAGTGAGATTTGATCCTGTAAAAAGCTGAGCACTTCACAAAATCAACCCTTAATTTTCTGATTTAATTCTACATTAAGGTTCATTAATTTAGGGTGCTGTTATGGTTGTGTTGTGAATTCTTAAAGGTTAGTAGCTCTAAGCCACTCATAGAACTGAGAGGTCAGCCATTCTCTTTTTACACTTGCATAAAGAGAAATACATACTACTTTTCTAGACTCATGGTTGAGGTGATATCTTTTATTAGACCAACTAGATTTTTGCAAAAAATGTTTTTTGCAAAAATCTAGTTGGTCTAATAAAAGATATCACCTCAACCATGAGTCTAGAAAAGTAGTATGTATTTCTCTTTATGCAAGTGTAAAAAGAGAATGGCTGACCTCTCAGTTCTATGAGTGGCTTAGAGCTACTAACCTTTAAGAATTCACAACACAACCATAACAGCACCCTAAATTAATGAACCTTAATGTAGAATTAAATCAGAAAATTAAGGGTTGATTTTGTGAAGTGCTCAGCTTTTTACAGGATCAAATCTCACTA